ATCAGAGAAGTCCGAACACATCTTTTCCAAGGACAGAGAAGAGAGACTGGGGTGCAACCCACCACACTGCATGCCCAGTGAACAGGCATTATTGAGGTCTCGGTTAGCCAAGACCATTGTCTGGGGGTTGCCCCGGGGACACAGTGCGCCATGTGCCTATGGCCTTCCACATGGGGTAAGCAGACAGAGATCCAGGGGCAATTTCCCACATTTCTGAAACTTCCGAAACTTAAATATCTCATCCTTTTGGACTTTATTTTGAAAGTGATATAAACCTGGCTCCTGAAACACTGGTATCAATAATTTCCAAGTTGCTGGTCTCCATTATGTACCACGAGTGGAAGGATTCTGGGAATTTCAGCTCTATTTGCTACGGACATTCTAATCTTGTGTTACCTCTTGCTCTGCTATTAAATCTCATTCTCTTGCCTCTACTGACCTGAGCCTTGACTAATGCCTCTGTGATGCTTCGGTTCTTCCAGAATGGGAGTCAGTCTCACTTCTATGTACCTCTTGCTGAGGACAGATGCCCACAAACATTGAAAATTTGGTGTGTTGCCTGTTGAACAAAACTCAAGGACAAAACTATTTCAGGGTTTGTCCCCTATTGTTCAATAATTCATTCAACCAACAGCCTGATTGCTGGCTCATACCTAAAGAAATAGGGATATGGAAGGAACTAAAACAGCCCTTTGTCATAAAGTATGTACACAAAGAGACGGCAACAGAAGCCAAGTCTGGGAGTTATAGGTTACTTGAAGGAAAAGTTCAAGTTTGATTCACTTTTGCTCTCAGCATAGAGGCCGTCAAACAAGAGGATAAAGACATGATGTGATAAAGACATATTTCATTCTTGGCTGCTGTGAAATAATGCTTCAATAAACTTGAGTGTGCAGACATCTCTTTGATATCATGAATTACATTCTTTTGTATATATGCCCAGAAGTGAGACATGTGGTAGTTGCATTTTTAATTTTCAGACATTTATTAATGTGGCCCTCCATAAGGACCATAGCATTTTATATTTCTAGGGAGAATATAGAAGAATCCTTTCCTTTCTGTCCTTCCCAACACATGATTATTCCTTTTGATAATTATCGGTTAGAGATAAGGTAACGTCTGCTGTTTCTTTGAGTTGCATGCCCTGGATGACCAGTTAAGTTTCTCACTTTTTCATATAACTGTTGGAAAGTTGTATGTCTTCTTCAAGAAATATCTAATTAGGTTATTTGACCATATTTTTAAACAGTGATTTTTTTCTATTATGAAAGGCATCCTTATGTTCATACTTGGACTATTAACCTTTTTATCAGATATGTAGCTTGCAAATATTTTCCTCTCATGCCATATATTGCTTTTTCATTAGCCAGATGTTAACTTTGCTGAGTAGGTTTTCTTTTTTTTTTTTTTTGGCCAATTTATTTGTTTATTTGAATGGCAGAGGTACAGAGAGAGGAAAGTTAGAGAAAGAGAGGTGTTCTACTCACTGGTTTACTCCTCAGATGATTCCAACTGTCACAGCTGGACCAGACTAAAGCCAGAAGCCTTGAGCTTCATTCAGGGTTCCCATGTGGGTGGAAGCATTCTGCTGCTATTTCAGGCACATTAGCAAGAGCCTAGATAGTAAGTGGAGAAGCTAGGACTCCTGGTGCTCATAAGAGTACACATATAGAGATGACTTGTAGCTTTATATAAATCCTATTTGTCTGCTTTTGCTTTTGTTGCTTGTGTAAAAGATATTAATGTCATAAACAATGTTAAGATTTGTCCCTGTGCATTCTTATGTTTGTCCCAGTATGTTCTTGTGTTTATCCCTGTACATTCTTCTGAGAGCTACATGGGTTTTCATTTTGAGTTGATTTTTGTGTAAGGTATACAATTATGATTTTGTGCCTGTGGATATCCATTTTTTTGGTGTTCCTATGCATTGAAGATAATATGCTTTTCCCCACTGTTTATGTTGAAGATTAACTGGCCTTAAACAAATGGGTTTTTCCCCTGGGTTCCTATTCAGGTCTATGGACCTATATTTATGCCAGTATCCTATAATTTTGAATCTTGTAGCTTTAGAATGTGTCTTAAAATCAGTGTTCCTTGACAAGGAGGAAATGATATTTATACATAATAGCGTAATACTCACCATTAAAAAGAAGATCCTACTATTTGTGACAACATAGATGAGCCTAAAGGATATTATACCAAATGAAGTAAGACACAGCAGGACAAATACCACCTGCCTTCACCAACATGACTAGGTTGAAATAGTCAACTCCGTAAAAGTATAAATTGGAATTGTGGTTGCCAGGGCTAGCTGAAAGTTGAAGAGGGGAAGCATTTTCCACTTCACAGGAACTACCACATACGGCACTGCGTATCTCTCCAATTGGTAAGAGAGTAGGTCTTATACGTTGTTATCATAAACAACATAAAGAGCGCAAAAAGATAGTTTTGGAGTCGATCCATAACTTTAGAGTATTAATTGTAGTGTCAGCATCATGAATGTTTACTTATCTACAAACTCATAAAATTGTATACATTAAATATTTATAACTTTTTCCATGAAAATCATACTTCAATGAAGTTTTAAGAAGACTACATTTCACATGAAAAATGAATATGCACTGAGGATCCTAAGAAAGAGACAGGGGCTCCACAGACCTGGAGAACTTGTTGTGGGACTTAATTTCTCTTGAGAAAATCTTAAGAAGCACAGTGGGCCTCCAGCTGCAGTCAACTGCCTAGGCTGACTGCATTTAGGCAAGTGTTACACTGCTGGGAGAACAGCGGCAAATAGCTGGTTGGTATTCTGCATCTGGTTAATGCTGAATTTGTGTTAACTGTACCAGTGAGTAAGCATAGTTACTTTTCTTTTCTTTTTAAGATTTATTTTTATTGGACAGTCTGATATACAGAGAAGAGGAGAGAAAGAGAGGAAGAACTTCTGTCTGCTGATTCACTCCCCAAGTGCCCGCAATGGCTGGAGCTGAGTCAACCTGAAGTCAGGAGCCCAGAGCCTCTTCTGGGTCTCCCTCACAGGTGCAGGGTTCCAAAGCTTTGGGCCATCTTTGACTACTTTCCCAGGCCACAGGCAGGGAGCTGGATGGGAAGTGGGACTGCTGGGATTAGAACCGGCATCTGTATGGGATCCCAGTGCATGTGAGGTGAGGACCTTAACTGTTAGGCTATTACAGCAGGCCCTGTTACCTATTCTGTTATTGTTTTTTAAGATATCTGTGGAAATCAAAGAATACCATGCCATGAGGACATACCATTCTAGCCCCCAGGTAGGGGTGTGGCAGATTTCTGGGGAAGGATATCTGGGGACATATTGGAGTGAGAGCTGCTCAACGCATGATTGACAAGGGAGGGATGGCTTATACAGGCTTCCATGGATTGGATCACTGTACTCGTAGAAAGGCAAGCAAGCTGATAACCAAGGGGTTTAGAGAGGAGACAGGCCAAAGCATCTGTGTATGTGGGAGACCCAGGCTGGGCTAAATAGCATTACCTACTGCCTGCTGGTGCATGCAAAAGGTGGGCATAGGAGAAAGTCTGCTGGGTTAGGTCACAGTACCTTCTGAGTATCAGAGCAGGGGGTAGGCCATATTAGACTGGACCACAGCACCCATTAAGAACATGAGAGAACCAGATCTGGGGACAGATTCTGCAGGAGACTTATGGATTGTCTTTGTGGGACTGCAGCACATGCCAGCTCGTGCAGAGAGATGGGGGTGGTAACAGGCTGAGCCAGGTTAGATCACGAAATTCACTTGACACTTATGGGAGCCTAGACTGGGAGGATGCAAGCCTGGGCCAAGCTGTAGCACCCACAAACATGTGAAAGGTCAGCACTAAGGGTAGATGATGCCAACCGGGGCCACTGTACCCACTGGCACATGTGAGGTTTGGGGCTGGGACTATGCCTTGTAAGGAAACTCAGAAAACTCCTTTATTAAGAGGCAGCTCCTACTGGGTGCACAAAAGCCAGGGCTTGAGGCTGGCCAGGCCAAGCAAGGCTGCAGCACTCAACACTGTGTGGGTCAGGTCTGGTGGCAGGCTGGGCTGGTCCAGGCCATAGCACCCACTGGGCAAGCATGAGAGCCAGGAAAGAGTGTGGGCCACCAGTTGGGCTAAGTTGCAACACCCATTAATGACAGCTGAAACTGTGGATGGGCCATGCCAGGGTGGTTTGAAGCACCAACCAGTATGTACAAGATCTGGGGCTAAGAGTGGGTCTGGTAGGAAACTGTGAACACTCCCCTGCTGGGCTGTAACTCCTACTGGACCATTCTCCTGGCCAAGATTTGCAACATCTTGTGGATGCACTGAGATGGACTTGGTCAGCCAATAGACCTTAAAAAGACCTCAACTTTGATGCAGTGAAGCCAATGACATATCAGAACTGTCAAAACCACTCAAGTAACACTCTTGGAATACTTCCCACATTGTGGTCTCCCAGGTGTAATCAAATGACTGTCCCCCATCCCTGGGTGCTGATGTAGTTGAGCAGCAAGACGTAGCCTCCTTCCCTTACCTCCCTTTAGACAGAGGAGAAAAAAGTTGAGACATTTGTCCTATCCACCTTCTTCTATGCCTTGATACTACCCACCCTAGTGTGAGACCCACATGTGTGTGCATCCCGCTCAACTACATAAACAATGTTAAAAATAAAATAAATCAAAATAAAAAGAGAAGACACTCACAAGTGACATCTTTCATGCCACCAAATGATGACCCTTGCTTGCTGATTCTAGTTGGATTTTAAGACTACTGCTACACAGGCATCACTGAACCTGAATGACACATGGGAGTTTTGCTTTTTTTGTCTCTTTGTTGCCTTATGTTTGACCAGAGAAGTCATTAATAGTCATCTACTTTGCTCAAATATATGGCTGCATATTTGCAAGCTTACAGCAACTGTTGCAACAGTAAGTAGTATAATGTGTTGAACTAATCATAATTGATCAAATAAACCATGGCAAACCTATGGCCATGGTTACCTGGTGGCAAGAAGTGGGTATGAGTGAACGGGGCTGAGCCAGGCTTCCTTCCTCCGTGGCATGTTCTCATAGATGAGAAGGTCCTTCTCAGTCAGCACAACCAGGGCGGCTTTCCACTGTTTCTCACTCTCACCCGGCACCTGAAACGCAAAGCACAGATGTGTTGAGCAACAGTTGGATAAATGCATGATGAGAAAAGAGAAATCGAGTGACCAGCACCATGGCACAATGGGTAAAGCCATTGTCTGTGTTGTCGACATCCCATATGCATGTCAGTTCAATCTCTAACTGTTCCTTTTCCTATCTAACTCCTTGCCAATATACCTGGTAAGGAAGTAGAATGTGGTCCAAGTGTTTTCTGTGTGTCTAAGTGTCTTTTTCTTTTAATACAGGTTTGTTATTTTTGAGAGAGGCAGGTGGAGAAGAACAGAGAGAGACACACAGAGAGAAAAACAGAGAGAGAAGGAGGAGACAGGGGAGAGGGAGAGGGAGAAGTTAGCAATATATTCTCTTATCCAAGGAAGAACTCATTGTACAATGAGTGTATTTATAGTTTAACATACTTCTTCCAACTCCAAACAAAACTTCCCTTTCCAAAACAAAACAAAGTAAAACAAAAATCCTAAACATTCTCTGTCAATTTTAAAGCTACTTATACTAGAGAGTGATTGACTGACTTAGCCCAATAATTATGCATATTAAATATAAAAGTACAACTTTAGTCTGTTGCTCTTATGGAAAAAAATAAGATTTTTTTCCACTGTAAATCCAGCATCTTTACAAGATGACAATGGATTATTAGGGAAGGTAATGTACCAGATCCTACAAGGTGAATAACTCCAGATTCAAGGCATAAAGTGTGTGTGTTTTAGGGGTGGAGGCAGTACAGAATATTTTGGCCTTCTTCTACATTAAACTTAGTAAATTACTTTTCCACCTCATTAAATATGACTGGGGAAAGCACAAATGATCCTCCCCATGTGACTATCTTACTTACCTAGTCAGATTTGATCCATTAACTTGGACTAGAATCACTCACTTCAACATGGCTATCACAAAGAATCATTCTCCTAAAATAATAATAAGTTTTCAAAAAAAAAAATAAAAGAAGAAGAAGAAAGAAAGTCCTCAACAATAAATTCCAACCAGACCTCTCCACTGCTGGAATCATAAGCTCACCTAACATCTGAAGTGGTTCGTGGAGGTTTTAATAATCCCAAGGTCTGAAAACACTTTGGAGTTTACTAAAGGGCCCATGTGGATACATTCAAATGTGCTGTGAGACTATTTGGAGCAAGTGTTTGCCATCATTCTTGGGGGAGATCTGTAACAATGCTTGAGGGTAGATGTCACCCTTGGGGACAATGAATTCTGCCAAGAAAAAATAATTCATGCTTTAAAAGAGGGATTTTTGCAAACATATTTTGTGCTAAACCTCACAATCTACTCTTTGAAGAATTTTCATCAGATGCAATTATACTAACATTTTAATGAAAACTTCCATTACAAATCCAATGTTATTGGTACCTAAAGATAATTCAATGTTGGTGTGACTATTCCTGAGATGTGTCTTAACTTTATGACTCATAGGAAAACTTATGCATCTGCCCCAGCTTCTCCTGAATGCTACAGTCATCAGGAGCTTAAGAACTGATCCTGTTTTTTTAATGAAGAAGGTAAAGGAAAGGTTAAATAGTCCTAAAACTTTGTTTCTGGATTTTTTTCTGAAGCACACCTTTGGTAATTTGCAGCCTGTCCCCAGGTTCAATTCCACAGAAAATGGAAAAGAATTTAAGAGCTGGTGGTAGGAAGTTAGTGGCAGGAATCACAGGAAGTGGAGTTGTTGAGTTCTCTAATTGAGACAGATCTCAGAAATCAGGTAATTCAGTTGCTTTCCATCTCTTTACACCACTGAACTTTCTGTTCAGATTTAGTTAAAACTCATAGGACAATATGTACAAATGGAATTTACATGGATTTGCACACTAGTTGGGTCTCTGGCTTTATTTGTTTATCCTACCACAAGGCACACTTCTGAGTGTGGATGTTGGCAATCCTTACAACAGAGTACAAAGAATATTGATCTCCTTTCTATGATAGTGGGAGTCTACAGATTACTTCCCAAGACACAGTTTTAGAAGAACTCTTCAATCTCATTTTTGTAGATATTTTCTAAGAGCAATACTGTTGCCTCTGGGGAGCAGCGAGTGAAACAATACTCTTATGGGGGCTTACAAAATTGTCTTACATGTAGTGAACAAGACAGCCTTGAAAATTCGCTTTTGTCACATTACATTAACTTGAGGCCAGTGAGTATCCAGTTAAAGGGTCTCACAGAACTTGAGCAAGAATTACTTGTCTTTGCTTGATCTAAATTTCTTCATCTGCAAGATGTTCAGGTGTTCCTAAACAGCTAATGGCCTCTCCAACTTTATAATATAATCCTTTCTTTAGGTTTAAAATGCTTGATTCTAGGTTGAGATTGCATTGGCCACAAGGACATTTACTCTGTTGTTTTTTTTTTTTTTTTTTTTCCAATGGACTCTGCTCACAGTGGGGAAAAAAAAACACCTGGCTAGGGTTCTCCTGCTCTCCCTTTGAGCCAGCTCACTCTTCCCAACATATTCATTTTCTATATTGCCTTGGCCATGAGTGGCAAAGACAGCTCGTAGTTTGGAGGTGAAAAACATCTGCTCCAAAATTCCACTTTGCTAAATTATTTCATTGCTGTGGGTACTTGTTCTCTGGTGTGTAATGTGTTGTGGATGGGCTCCCAGACTTAGTTTGTGATCAAAGAGACAGAGACAATTTATCTAAGGTACTTCTCACATGGTAAAAGATAAATCTTAAAGTGCCTTCATCGCTTACTTTCAGCTCCTCTGTTCTCATAAGTACTACTCAGGTAGGCAGGGGAGACGTCAATGACAGAGACCAAAAGTTTACCAAGGAGGGTTGCTTGCAACTTTTGTGTTGGAGATCATGGTTATCTCAACACCTGTTATGTCATGTTGCTAGATATTTATTTTAAAAAGAAGAAGCTATCAATATATCAGTATAATAAAAGTTAGCATTTATCAGCTTCCAAACACTTCACATGCATGAGATATTCCTTGTGTCAACTCTCAGAGAAGCAGATAAATATCAAGGCTACCTAAATAAATGAAGAATAGTGTTTAAATACAGTCATGGAGCACAGAGAAAATGCCAAGTAAGGTCTCTCAAAACTCTCATTTCTTTTAGGCCATAGGCGACATTATCACTTAGGCTGCAAATATTTAATATTAAGAGTAATATTAAATGTATTCTAAAAGATTGTGTTTAGACTGTTACGTTAATAAACTTGACAATTCATGAAACCAACAAATTCTTTGAGAAATACAAATTACTCATCTCCTCTAAAGAAATGCAATGTTTAGTTATAAACTTTCCTACAAAGAACACTCAAGGGTCAATATGGTCACTAAGGAATTCTATCCAATATTTGAAGAAGAAATAGTATTAGTTTTCTAGAATTCTTTCAGAAAAGTGAAGGGCAGATAATATTTCTATCTTATTCTAGAGGCCATGTTATAGTGATAATGAAATGAGAGAAAGATAATGCAAGAATATAAATCTATAGATCATTAACCCTCATAATCATACATTTAAACTTTCTATTTAGTATTTTAGCTAATTAAACAATATTTCAGCAACAGTGCTGCTTAGGCTAGCCTTATTAGAGTGCCTGATTCAGGCTCTGGCTACTAGTGATCTAACTTCCTGCTGAATAAAGCATGTGTACCCAGGGAGGTGCAGACAACAGCTCAAAGTGTGTGAGTTCCCTCTACCCATGTAGGAGATCCAGAATGAATTCTGGACTCCTGGTTTCAACCTGGCCCAGCTGTGGCTATTTCAGGTAGGGGAGTGAACCAGCACATAGAAAATTTCTATGTCCATATCTGTGTCTCTTTCTCTGCTTTTCAAATAAAATTTTAAAAAAGGAATTAAAAAACTATTTAAAAAATCAATGGGGTGGGCCCGGCGCAGTGGCGCAAGTGGTTAAAGGTCCTCGCCTTGCACTGGGATCCCATATGGGCACCGGTTCTAATCCCGGCAGCCCCGCTTCCCTTCCAGCTCCCTGCCCGTGGCCCAGGAAGGCAGTTGAGGACGGCCCAAAGCTTTGGGACCCTGCACCCGCGTGGGAGACCCGGAAGAGGCTCCTGGCTTCGGATCGGCATAGTATCGGCCGTTGCACTCACTTGGGGAGTGAATCATCGGATGGAAGATCTTCCTCTCTGTCTCTCCTCTCTGTATATCCGCCTTTCCAATAAAAAAATAATAAAAATAAACCTTTAAAAAAAAAAATCAATGGGGGCCCAGCGCGGTGGCGCAGTGGTTAAGGTCCTTGCCTTGCACACCCAGGATCCCATGTGGGTGCCGGCTCTATCCCGGCAGCCCCGCTTCCCTTCCAGCTCCCTGCCTGTGGCCCGGGAAGGCAGTTGAGGACAGCCCAAAGCTTTGGGACCCTGCACCCGCGTGGGAGACCCGGAAGAGGCTCCTGGCTTCGGATCGACATAGCATTGGCCGTTGCGCTCACTTGGGGAGTGAATCATTGGACGGAAGATCTTCCTCTCTGTCTCTCCTCTCTGTATATCTGCCTTTCCAGTAAAAAAAAATAATAAAAAAAAAATCAATGGTTCACCATACTAAAAAAATAAATAAAAATCTGATACCCACTCTTGATAAAAAACTCAAAAATAACAAAAAGTTAAAAATTTAAAAAAAACCTCCTCAGTATTTAGGAGTAGATGGAATTGTCTTATTCAGATAAAAGGTATCTGTGAAAATTCTGCAGCTGGCATTATACTGTCTGATGAACATCAGAAAAAAGACTGGTATACCCACCTGCCCCATTCCCATTCCATGTGTTCTAGCCAGTGCAATCAGAAAAAGACAGGTAGGCAGACCAGGAAAAGAGTAAACAAAAGGAAGGAACAAAATAGATTCATACGTAATATGCAACCAACTTGGAACAAACATATAACGAAACTTCTGAGGATAAATGTTCATTTTTAAATGATGTTGCTGAAAATACTAAGTACTCTAATGAGAAAAATTTAACTTCAATCTTCATTTTGTACCA